TCGATCAGATTACGGCCAATCGTCAAATGAACGTATCTTTGTAAAAGCCAATGTAGACTCGACCGTCGTTTGTTTTGACAGTATTTTTCGGTTCTGTATAACGATTACAGATTGGATTTATGATTAAAATGTTTTTTTATAATTTAATAGAATAAAAAGAATAATCTTTATTATACTAATAATATAATAACACTAGCTGCACCCGCGACTTCGTTCGCGTGAAATCTATATATATAAAAGAAAGTCGTGTTAGTTACACTATTTATAACACAAGAATTGCTCAATCGATTTGGATGAAAATTGGTGGGGACGTAGCTTAGCACCAGGAAACGGACATAGGATACTTTTTACCCGATACTTTTTTTTTACTTTTTACCGAAAATCAAGAACGAGAACGGGAAATATCGGGGTTGCGCGTACGAAGTCGCGGGCAGAAGCTAGTTATTCATATTTCTTGATGGCTTGATTGGCGACGCGTATTCGAGAAGCTAGTATGAAACGGAACGTTTATTGTCTACTCACATGGACGTAATAATAATAACGTTAACGGTATTGTTAATACGTCCATATCTACTCAAGATGGCGACTGCGGTTTGTCTGTCAGTGTCATTAAAATGAATTAATAAAACGAAATAATCTCCGTAATCCGAATTTTGCGGTCGTATATGTTGTCGACTCGAAATCGATATTTTTTATGTTTTGTTATTCAGGTAATGTTTCGATTGAGTCTACCGTACCTTTTGACGAAATTATTAATATAGATATAGAAAAATAAATTGTGGTAGTGTGACACAGATAATCCAAATTTCAAGTAGATTGTAAGATACCTTATTAATAAAAATTAAAACAAATGTTATAATTTTCTTGCTTTTATAGGGGTTATACGCCAATCAGTTGGCCAAAGTAATATTGTGCATTATTGCATTTTCAAAACTCTTAGGCTATGTGCTAAAACATTTCGAAAAGCTACAAACCTGGAAAATAAATGTATTTGGTCAATAACGTCTAATAACGTAACAAGCAATAACACGAATAACATCCTCTGCAAACATTATATATTTTTTTATACTAGATAGGATGGCGTTTAGCCACTATCTCACCTGGTGGTAAGCGATCATGTGGCCGACGATGGAGCACGCCTACCTATGAGCAACCTGTTTATATGAAACTGGAAGACACCCAAGTTGTACTCCTCAGAAAACACAGATTCCGGCATAGAATTCCATTCCATAGCGGTTTGCATAAGGATACTCGAAACGGTACGCTTCGTGCGAATGGGTAGAATATCCACCATATAAGGGTGTTGCCTTGCCATTCATCTTGTAGTACGATACCATTCCCATTTGCCTACCTCATCAGAGAACAAAACATTCCAGTCCAACGTAAGAAAATCCTGTTACTGGTAACAGATACCTAGGGAACCCTAGCCCACCGATAGACGGTATTACGGATTATTTCCCTTCGTATTGCGCCTCGCCCCGATCATAAAGTAGAAATGTGAGTATACACGAGACACGAGTACTCATCGAGCTATGAATAACCAGTTTAAATTGGTCTTGCTTTGCATGATCTTCTCGCGTAGTCAATGGTCACTTTATAATGGTTTTGCATAGCTTGATGTGTACATAGCTTCACGTCTGTATTCCCCAAGGTATAGTCATGGGTGTAGAGCTAAGTAAACCTATCAAGCGATCGTGTTATTGGTCCTATGTAGGTAGCAAAGGAAGTATGGATCTGAATAACAGTGTTTGTGTAAGTACCAAGCTAAATGCTAAATGCGGTAAGTGCATACTGACTATGTAGTTCGAGTTTGTGCAGGTTTGTATTGTCTGTTGCTCAAGGCGGATTGGCGATATCAAACTTAGAAAGTCTGAATCCCGATTTCTTCACGATGTTTTCCTTCACCTAACTCAAATATACAACTTAAAGTAGGCCATTTCGGCAGTTGCCGGGTTTCGAAGCCATACCTTCGTGCTTGAAAAGTACCTTAACCTCTAAGCCATCACGATACAATTTCCGAGAACAATAAAATTTATTCCGAAACTATTCTAAATTCATAGCCCAAAAGGGACTTAGGAATCAATTTTATTTATTGTCATAATCCTTTTGGGTGTAACCCAATTCTGTTCGGTTAGATTACGGACTTATCATTCTATTACGCTTAAAATGGAAGCTTAATACAATTTTATTGTCTTAATTGTAGTTTAATAACATCATTAGGAATTTTGAACTTAATGGGATGTGTAATGAGATATATAATAAGGTACATGTGCACGATTAATTATGTTACCCTCAACGCTCTTTTAAACAAGAGAAAAAAGGAGGTTATAATGTCCATGCGTACATCGTATCAGCCAAGGACGTTGCAAAAGCGGTGGCACAGGACACAGTCTCTTGAAATAACGACTGTGGCACCTAGTTACTATAGACTTATGTACACGCAGAACATACCCACATTGACACGAAGGACAACTGTCATTTTCTTAAGTCTGGTAACGTGGTAACAACGTGGTAAAAGTTTAAGTGTGGGAGAGCCATGCTTCGGCACGAATGGGCCGGCTCGACCGGAGTGATACCACGGCCTCACAGAACACCGACGTGAAGCAACGCTTGCGTTGTGTTTCGTCATGTGAGTGAGGTTACCGGAGGCCCAATTACCTTCCCCTTCCCCAATCTCCCCAATTCCTGAATCCCCAACGATCCTCAAACTCCTAATCTCCAAAAAGCCGGTGACGCACTTGTAAGGCCTCTGGTGTTCCAGGTGTCCATGGGCGACGCCGATTGCTTACCATCAGGTGATCCGTCTGCTCGTTTACCGGCTTATGCCATAAAAAAAAAATATAAATAACTCACTGATATTTTGACGCTTCAAGCAACTCTAAGTGACAATATGTTCGCCTTTTTGCCAGCTATGTTAAATCCATGTTATAAATGAAGAAAGAAAGAGCAAAGATGATGTTCTGAGCGTGTTCTTAGTCCTATATATAATAGAGGGTGAGTCAATTGTCAGAGCAGGTACATTCACAAACTCCGAGCTACAACAGAAAAAAAACATCCTGTCCAAAATATAAGGCGAAGAAGTCACGTTTGGTCTTAGGTTAACTTCTTCTTTTTTCTAGAATTGTGTGGTAACAATCTTGCCCGTTTTACTGGACCAACAATATAACTGGTAACATATGGGTTGCTAGCTAGATGTTAGCCGTTAGGGAATAGCCAAAGGAGCAGTATACCTTCTACTAATGGCATTATATCTTATTCAGAACCCAGCTTCGTAGCTAGATTCTAAATAAAATTCTAAGTAAAGTGACTCCAGTACGAACCAGAAGCAATAAATATTGCGTAGTAGAATACAATTTTCTTTCTTTTGAGGTGAATACCAGCTGTTTTAGTCGCATAAATCCTTCCGAACTGACAGATTACACAATAATACATTTGATTGAAGCCATAAATGTTATGCTCAAGATTAAGAAAAAGAAAACGTGAGCAAAATTCTGACTGTGCGGTTGGTGCAGTGGCTAGGCAAATGACTACCGCGCTACGTGTCGCGGGTTCTATTCCCGCACCGAACAACTCTTTGTGAAAGCCACAGATTGTTGTTCCGGGTCTGAGTGTGATATTTAAATGAACTTGTATGTTTGTAAACGCACCCACGATAGAGGTCAAAATAATAGTAAGGGGCAACGTTTAAAAAAACATCTTGTGATATTGTGGTTAAGCCACAGTGTAAATGACAAAATGTCAAATCTATTCAAAACAACATCACCGAAATAAATGACCAAGATAAACCTGTTACCGTCACCTGTACTAAAGGAAATACATAAAATATTTCCATTACATCCTTGAATAGAGTAATTGGGCATAATGGAGTTTAGAAACCACACAGCTCCTAGCAATCTATTAAGATGTTAGTTCCACTCCGGATAGCACCGATTTCAGTGCCGCCCTTTCATTCATCTAGGTAATTAGTGGTGCACATAATGGGTGTAAGTGGTTGAAAATAATACTTGACTATTCTTTTAAACTGGCGACTGAACATTAATGGCAAATCTTTGACTCGCAGTAACTTCCAAGACTACATAGCATCGACTTAGTTACGTAATTGGAACGGAAAGTCTTTTCTGCGTAACTATTTTTTCTCTTTGAAGACATCTTAGGAATTGCATATCATTATAAATATTACTTGTGTATTTCCTTCTTTTGAGGACACCAAGTAGAAATTGCGAGAATCTTACATTGAGGTATATTTTTCTTAATAAGGACACTGCTCCATTTCGATACCCTGTTTTGAGATCATGCTTTGCATAATACCTTTGCGCAATGTAAAAAAATATTGGAATAGGTATTCGTTACTAGTTGTTACCCGCGACTTCGTCCGCGTAGAATATGACTACTGTTTAATCCCATGGGAGCATTTAATCGCTATAAAAAGTCCTATCAAATAAGTCCTGCCTGTATAACAAATTTCATCAAAATCCGTTCAGTAGTTGCAGCGTGATTGTTGCACAAACATACAAACAATGAAACTTTCGTATTAGTCTTAGAGAGGAATTTTCTCCCACGTACCCTCCAATTGTGGAATGAACTCCCTGCCGTAGTTTTCCCAGTGGGCTACAACATGGGGTTCTTCAAGAGGGGAGTGTATAGGTTTTTTAAGGGTCGACAAGACGCATGTAATGCCCCAAGTGTTGCAGACGTACATAGGCCACGGTAACCGCTTACCATGGGGTGGGCCGTGTGCATAAATTTCCAACGTCGTGGTACAAAAAAAAAGTGTGATACCGATTGACACACTTTTCAGGTATAATTTAGCTACATTAATAAACCTCTTGATATAACCATATAATATTTACAACGAGACACGATCTATCAGTGGACATTGAGGAGCTGTTGTCAAATAACTAAGTCAATAGCTAAACTCTCGTTCATACAGACTATATTCATTCATTTTCACTTATTACAAAAGAGTATGTTTAATTCTAAATGCTTCGTTTCTATTGCAGATAGTATGTGGCATATCAGCTATGGTGATGGGCAGCGTGGCCTTCATAGAAGAAAGACAGAAGTTCAACATGGGGCTAGGGATACCTGCAGGAGGCATCAGTGTATTAGCAGCAGGTAACTAAACAATTAACAAATCGAAGAGCAGGAGTAGGAACGGTGGGTTACAGTCAGTAAGATTCTGTCACTCCATCTCGCTTAATCCAAGGCACGAGAGCTCAGCGGATTATTTTTGCCAGTCAAAATAAAAGCCGATACAAAACTTGGCTTGACTGCACAGTTGGTGCGGTGGCTGGGCAACCGGCTGCCGTGCAACGTGTCGCGGGTTCGATTCCCGCACGGAACAACACTTTGTGTGATCCACAAATTGTTGTTTCGGGTGTGGGTGTCATGTGTATGTGAACTTGTATGTTTGTAAACGCACCCACGATACAGGAGATAATCCTAGTGTGGGGCAACGTTAAAAAAAAGACCTTTTATTTAATAAAAACAAAAAAAAAAGTAAAGATACTATGCGGTACAGAAGAATACGACATCGGAGTACCTTAGCTCATGAATATTTTTTTTATTTGAGCTAGAGCTCATGACAATAAAAAAAGCATTTACTAGAGTAAAACGGATACCAGAGTAAATATTTTGTTGTTTATACTATACATCAAATGAAACCACCTATGCCATGTATTGAGTAACTGATGTAACTTTCTTCTGTTTTACTTTTTTTGTCAGTGTACTATATTGATTATGTTCATTGCTTTTATATTCGTATCGCCAACAGCACAAGTCGTTTTAATTAATTTAATATATTTTTTAAATAACGTTCACCAAGAACGTTTTGGTAAATACTGGATTATTGTGTACTGGTTTAACTAAACAAGTTTAAAGTTATTTAATTGAATATTGTTTGCCCAGTTATGAGAGTTCCCTAGTTCCCAATTCTCAGTTAAAACTACGTGCAGACGAAATAAAGTTAAGGGTTAATTATAAAGTTAGGCAAACGTAATTTTTGTTACTGAATTACAATAATATTATTTAACTTTCAAATAGGATATATATCGCTTTATTTATTTAGACTTTCAATTTCGAAATTTTAAAACTTTGTGGTGGGTAATTGCACTTTAGGGAACAGAGAGTATAGTTCCCTAATATCGGAAAAGGAGGATCCTCCGACCAGGCGAGGTGATCGTGCCTGGCGGGCTTTCTGCCCAACAGTTGTTCGTTGGGATTTTCTATCCGTGTTAAATTGAATGTAAACTTCGCATGTGCGATGTAGGATTTTTATGACGTCATCCGTCGGAATGTACCATGTGTCACCACAACATGAAACTCCTTTCATACTTAAGACTTGTACACGGCAATATTCTCAAACTTATCGCATCCATATCCGCATATGTGTGGGAGAGCCATGCTTCGGCACGCATGGGCCGGCTCGGCCGAAGTAATACCATGGCCGAGCAGAAAAGCGACGTGAAACAACGCTTGCGTTGTGTTTCGTCCTGTGAGTGAGGTTACCGGAGGCCCAATTACCCTGCTCTCCTTCACTAATCTCCCCAATCCCCGAATCCCCATCGATCTTCAATCTCCTAATCCCCAAAAGGCCGGTAACGCACTTGTATCGCCTCTGATGTTCCAGGTGTCTATGGGCGAAGTCGATGGCTTATCATGAGGTGGTCCGTCTGCTCGTTTACCGGCTTATGCAATAAAAAAATCACCATCATCATTACCTATTATCAGAAAAAAGACATACACTACTAAATAGTAGCCATAACTAGCGAAATGTACAATGTACATGATGTACGTCTACAAATCCCACGTCAAAGGTTTTTTTCATATTTTCTACTGTATTGTATCAGACCATCAACGTATGCTTGCAAAATGTCCCATAGCAAAGATAGGGTTTCATTCGGTTCTCTATCCTTTTTCGATAACTTCAGTAATTTTTCCCAGCGGTATCAATTCACACGTCTCGCGGATGGAGCGCCATCTCAGGCGTAGCGGGTGCCGGAGCGGGAGCGGCGAGCGTTTTGTGGGCAGCTGCGGCGTGCCTTCTTATAGCCCTCGTCGTGCAATGCTGTAGAACTATTCTAGATCCTCCTGGAATTGATCATGGGTGAGTTTAAATAGAAATGGCTTGTTCAAATGCCATCTATCAAATGTCATCTAGTGATACTGAAAGTTTTGTGTGGATGATATCAGCGTTGGTTCGTTGGTCTCATGAGAGATCAAAATAGACAACTTATCAAATAAAAACAATCCTTGATCAATGTCAAAGAAGTGTTAGCGAAATAGAACTGAACAATGATCCGTCTGCAACTATGACAATAGTCAATTGAGACTAAAAGCCGATATAAAACAATACATACTTACATTTAATTATTTCTTAAAGAAATAATCCGCTGGATAAGATTTATCTTTACGAGCAGATATTACTTAAGTCAACATAATTATTTTTATGCTGAATTCAAATCTTCGTTGTAACTATGGTTAGGAAAATAAAATAAAGGTCGAAAATAAGATATGGAAAAAGAAACTTATGAAATATTTATCAAGCTAGTAATAAACATCATTCATATTTATCTAATAAAATATTTAAGTACGTCCTGACCTAGTTCTCTTAAATAATTTCGATGGCAAAAAACAAAAAAGCTGAATCAAAAGTATTATTTAGAAACTCAAGATATTTTGGTGATAATGATTTTATTATAATAGTATGTAGAATGGAAAATTGACCTAATTTGAAAACAATTACCACTTTGATACTATGTATAAAAATAACTTAATGTAAAATTGGATTACAGCATCTTGAAAACATAAAAATCTTTTTATTAAAATTCTAGAATTCGTGTGGCATGTTTTAACACTATAACATCTTGCAGAGACGGCCCCAACGAAGAGGACACGATACCATCATCACGCGATTTAGTTGTAATCGCTTGTGTACAAATCGCTCTAGCTGCCGCTACGCTCCTGAGCGCGGCGATATGCGCGCGCATCGATTGTGGAACATGACGGGAGCCGCAGCGCACGCTTACTCGACGAAGAGTGAGCGAGGCGCCTGTACCCGCTACCGCTGTTGCTGACACTGTGATCGCACCCGAAGAAGTTATAGTCGAAAGGGAAGGCAGTCGGGTAGCCTGGCTTATATAAATATTTGCGTTGGAATTCATTTGTGAAATGAAATAAAGGACTGGACTTAGGAACTGAATAAGGATCGTGATTTAAATTTATTAGTGAGTGTATATTGAACGTTTTAGAGACGTGTAAGTTTAAGTCTAACTAGTCTATAGTGTACAAATTAATTATCACTTAAGTAAAATCGGCCGGGCATCACATCTGCCAAATTCATTGTTTTGAATATCACAAAAACACCGCAGCAAAATTTTAAACCGATGTATTTTCCGATGACAAAAGTTATTCAAGATATTGAAAATTCGCAAACACAAAGTCAAAGTCAAAGCATTTATTACAATGTGAATAAAAGAATTTTGAATTTGAATTTTAAATTAAACCATAATTTGGTACTTTTGAAACGTCAACAAATACAAAATAAATAATAGTCTGTCAGTCAGTCCGTCAGTGAAGCTAGGTTTAGCTAGGTGCTCATTCCAAAATGTAGATTCGAATGGAGAAGAACGAGCAAGAAACTCTATTCGTTCACACAGATCGATAGATCTTTTATTCTAATTGATATAGCAGAAAAGTTAAAAATCGACCAAGTGTTGGATAACGGAAAGTCACACTTTATGTCTATCTGGAACTACAGATGGTGAGAACACCTAAATATGATTAACACCCAACTCAATGTTCACTAATGATCGAATTAGTAATGATGATTCTTGTAAAGCTTCATTTTTCCAGGGTTTTAGTTTGAAACTGTCCAATCGAAATATGAAACGACGTACACAAAGGCATAGTTCGCATAGTGGTTTAACGTTTGACAATTGCACAACGGGTGACAATATTCGACATTGTACAAATATTTGAATGTCATACGAACGAGAGCTGCTATGTGTGTTTAGACACGGTAAACATTGTCAGAAATTTTCTATTGAAATCTAATATTGAGAGAATATGAATTTTATCACTAAATTCTTTGATATTTATCGAATAAAGGAGATAGATTGAACAAAATCGACTTACTAGCATTGATGCAGAAGTAGATCATATTTGTTTTTTTTTTCAAAAAGGTCATCTTGGTATTAAGTCAAGAAGAGATTGGACTGTACTTTTAATTGCCTCATATTACTTCAATATTCAGTTGCTTAGGTTAGTAAAACGAAATACAATAATACATTGTGATAAGGTTGAAAATTGCAAAACAAAATCAAGTGCTGAATTAATCCATCATCAATATTCGAATTTATTTGTTCAATATTATGTATGAGTACGAGTTTACGTTTCATTAGGTTTACATGCATCGTATTAATTAGCGATTTTGTTCATGAAATTTGCTTTGTGAGCTACTCTATTATTTTAGCCTTGTCGGTGGGCAATATTGATCGTGTGCATTGTACACATAATGCGCAGGTACGACGCCTATATGTAATTAAATTATGTAGGTAACATCCATTTTGGAAATATACTTTTGGTCTTCCGTTTTTTCATAATAATAATCACCGACTTTTTAGATATTCTTTTACGATACTTGCGCGTGCTCTTAGCCTATACCTAATTAAATGCCATCGCGAAGGACACACCGGGCGTCGGGGATCGCGAGACGATCTCCGGCCACCGTAAGCGCGGGCCTGCGGACGGCGAGCATGGGTGGCTCCCCGTCCGACCAGAAACAGACCCGAGCGTACGGCGCGTCGCGTTCCGCGCGCGCCTCAAAGAGCCATCAGACCACCACAGATGGGGCCCAATAGGGCCGATGCCGATTCGGAGTCGCGGAGAACCTAACGGGTAACCGGGGCTCCGGCTCGACGTGCAGGAGAAGGAACGGGGTGGTTTTTAGTCAGTAAGAGTCTGACACTCCCTCCCGCCTCACCCAGACGGGAGCAGTCACTCGATGATTTTCCCCCCTTAAAAAAAAAATACCTAATTAAATAAAAATGGCTAACCTATACTCAAACGGAACAGAACAATTTAAAATTTTATGCTGTTGATAAAAAAATCAAACTGCCTCGTTGGCCGAGTGGTCGCAAGTGCGACTGCGGCAAGGGTTCGGGTTCGATTCCCGGATCAGGCAAAGTATTACTGGGTTTTTAAAAATCTCAGTAGTAGCACGGAGTCTGGAAATATGCCCGGTATATGGCAATAGGCTCACCCCCTATTACATGGGACTCACAACATAAATAGTGAAAAATGGGTGATACGTTGTACAGTGGCATTAAGTGCCGAAATGTGAACCTCTGCCTACCCCTTCCGGGATAAAAAGGCGTGATGTTATGTTCTGTAAAAAAAAATCAAAATCAATCAACAGCCAAACTTCGTCTAGATCAATAATCGAAAGGATGTACTTGCAATAGCTAAAATATACATACAGTAACAGCAATAATTTAAAGATGCACAAATTCTATAGACTTAATTCTTTACTACTCTAAATTCAGATGGTAACAATATAAAACATCTTTAAATTGCCAGACAGCTTCAATAATACTTGTCACAATAATTTCTGTGCAAGTTTATGTCGAGGGGTTCCCCAGGGAACGATAATGGAACCCAAAACGACCATGAGGCTTAAACTAAAATATTTCTTGCCAGACCGTTTTATTTTATCCAACTTAAGGGGATTTTAAATAGTAGAAATAAGAAGAGAGGATAAAAACACCGGAGGGCATTCATGTACGAATGTACCTACGACCTTTTTTAGAAAAGGTATTGGGCATGTTAAACATATAATTAAAGGCCTTTTTGTGATGACTATACATGGAGATAATGTATCTACCTAAACCTTTCATTAGGTTGGTATTTTCTTTTATCTGTCACATTAGTTGAGTAACCCGAAGCCTTGACTGGGTAGAGATAGTCTGAAGTATTACTGGATTTTTTCTTTTGCATTATTTATAGGTCGTAGTCTGAATCAAATACTTTAATTCACACTTTCAAGTAATTGTAATTATAATAGGCATCAAGTTGAAGTGGTGTTCCTCGAATCGAATAAATTGTAATATAGAACTTTTCAATTGCGATCATTCATATATTGAATTGTAAGTACAACATTTGTTACTATGAATGTAACCTTTTCTCTTTATTTAAGTACAAAAAGTGTTTTACCAAAGAAGTAATTCTTTATATCATTTTAGCTCTTAATTTCACACAGTTACAAGACAAATTACGTTATACTTTGACAGACATAAAGGGTGTGCACGCTTTTGCTCCAACTGTAAACAACTGGGGTGTCCTAATTAGATCCCACACTAAAAGACAAAAGCAAAAAGCTTTACTCGCTTTTACTCACATTAAACCAGTTTAGCTCTTAATGCTATGTTTTAAAGATGAAATTAACTTAACATGTAAAGAGAATGAGGTGAAGTTCCTAAGTTTTGCTCGGTAACATTTTAATAAATTGTTAAGTGGCTAGGGATGATGTCTAAAAACATCTAGGTATCTATGATGTCTAGATAGTCACTGATTCATGGTAGATGCGGTTTGCATCAAGCTTCCTTGTGTGTACTGCTAAGGAGTGAATTTTTTTGCTGTCTGTATTTCCTAAAGGGTATAACCCGGGTGTCTTCAAGGCCCCGAGTGAATAGGTTGCTTTGGGACGACATGCTCCATCGTAGACCATCGCTTACCACTAGGCGAGTAGTCAATCGATCGCCCATCAAATATAGAGGTATATATATATATATGTACACATAAAAAAATACAATGGTTTATAGAATAACGAATCTTCAAAAATTGTTGGCTTTAATTTAATACCAGTGCCAACGTCAAACTATTCCAAACTGATACTTTACTTTATCTTTTTTAATATAATTTTGTACTTACTACTTTATCACCAAATAATAAAGTTGTAAATTGATGTACTTACCTGGTATCTGGAGCATGTACAGTTACGACATAAACACCAAGTCTATTTATTTATAAACATTGAGCACAATACCAAAGTCAGTAACATTAAAGAACATTTTGAAATGGTTTGAAAACCGGAATATCATTCGTTTGATTGTAACTTAACAATGTTTGTTACGTCTGAGGCGTAAGAATTCCACTGAAAACTTCACAATAGCCGCTTTACGATGATCTGAAAATTTCCTCAAACAATAACCTTTATGAAACATGTTCCGCTGAAACTTGTAATGGTAGAAAATATTTTAACAATTTGTTACCATTATCTATATGGTAATTTGTTTCAGTTATTTATATATCTGATATACACATATGTAATAATCAATACATAATATAATGTATGTATACTATACATACATGAAAATTGTGAAAATCAAATAAATGTAAATAAAATGAGTAAAAAAAATCACATTCTTATGTAAATAGTCTAATAGGCTTCTGCAAGCGTAAGGCTTCTTTTTATTTGCAGTCAACATATTTATATGAGTCTAAACTCTATTTAAATACCTATTACCAATTTAGAAAATCTAAATTACTTGGACATCGGTCGGTATATTAAAATTTTTTACACTTCATATTATTTGATAGTACATAATATATGATCAAGTCCACCGAGAATATTTTTTTTGTGATGGCTTTTGTATAAATAAGTTACGACAGCATTCATTTTAAAGGTAATATAGGTAATATCAATAAACTATTGTAGTCTAATTTAATCTTCAAATAAATTAACGTAGCTAAAAAAAACTGTACAATTATTTTCATAACGATTCTGTAAATTATGTAATATATGTAATAATCGTAATGTAATAGATTTAAATATTATTTATATTATATAGATAATTGTATCTAGAAGATTAGACCCATCTTCGTAAAAGTATCACTAAGTAGAGACTATAATATTTAGAAAACTGTCGAAACTATCACTTTTCTATATTAAAATAAATAATATGTGGAAACGATTTTTGTTTTTTTAATTACTCTAAATTATTTTACCCGATTGGTTAAAACTGGCAGAATTGACGAATTTGGAAGGAAACCTTTACTCAGATGAAGCTGGATATAAGCTAAAGAAGAAGCAAGGGGGATTTGGGCCTTGGAGATTTTCGTTTACTTTTTGTTACTCCTATATGTCAAAATGGCTGAAGGGATCGGAATGAAATTTGAACCATGAGTAGATGGATTATAGTCAGGAAAAATACAGAGGCCACTTTTTATCCCATGGAAATGCAAGTGAAACCGTTGGCAGATGTTAGACAAGAATAAAAGGCATTACAGTATTATTATTTTCTTTACTAATTAAAATATCATTATTATATTCAACTTATCTCAAACATTACCACGGAAGAGCATCTTTGATGCTTTTGCAAACGCAATACTTTGTGTCCATGAAGCACTCACAGGGTTCAGACGCAGGACAATCTCCGTCTGTTTCG